AAAGGGCAGTCACAAGAGACCAAAGTTTCCCCAGAGCAGTACATCATGGTAAAGCAAAACTCAATTTTAGCCAGGAAAGGGTGAAGTCTTTAAGGGAAAGTAAACATGGATTCCCACTGGTATCAAACTCAATGCTCAGGGAGACCCGTTCAAGCCATTAAGCTTTGATATGCTTACCAACATGCCTACAAATTTCTTTCCTGTTCGTTCAACTCACTTGGAGTTTGGATGCATTCGAGGGCATTTGTTCAAGTGCAATTGCTCCCCTAAGGACACCTTGGTACCTAAGAAATTAGAAGACAAATAAATGTTGGAAAATAACATGAATCAGCAGTACCTGAACTTATGAGCTCTGTTCCTGGCTTTGTCATTAAGGAACTCTATGATACTTTACAAATCACTTATACTCTCTGGGTATTTCTTTATCTGTGTAATGACAAAGTACAGCTAGAAGACCACTATGGTCTCTTCCAGATCTAAAACTCATATATACCAATATGTACTTATGTGTGAATTTGAGGTCTTGGGGTCTTGGCTTCATCTATTGTAGAGGAGTAATCACAATTCAGGCTTACAATAGACTGAAAAACATACAAAACTAACAATCGAGACCTTGAAAAAAAAATCCTTAAGTCCTTAGAACAGTTCAACAGGCAACAGAGACTTGCCTAAGGAAAGCTTGTGACTTCCTGACAGGCTATCAAAACCATAACTGTTGAGACAGCAGAGGAATCCCCTTTATTTAGTACCTGGAAGAGGTTGCTTAGTCTTGGACAATTGCTATGGGAAGGGCAATAAGCCTTTAAGCAAGAAGTAAAATGGATGTTGTACAGGCATCAGAAGCTAGCTCAACTGGGACACCTCAGAGATGGGCTTAGGTGTGGATGTGGCAGTGAAGGGGAGTCTATTGGAAAGGTCAGGACAGCTACCAAAGTTCCGAAGCTTCTCATATTCAGCCAGCCAGATATGAGTCTACCTGTTGAAACTTAGCAAAGCTGAGGTTGGAAGGGGCAAAAACAGATAGTGGAAAAAGGAAATCCTTTTAGTTATAAAAAGAAACATTTTACACTTCTGAAAGGGGGAGGAAGGAAAGGGCTCAGATAGCTCAATTGCTTGTGAAAAAGTGAGTGAGATTTAAGACTTACCTCTAGGGCACAGACTGTGTTCATAGTTTTGGCCCTAACCACTCATCTATAGAAGATCCCCAACCTGGGAAATGTTACTGGTTGTATAGGAATTATCACTATAAGCAAAGGTGGAGTTGTTTACTGAGTGAACAGGGTCAGAAATCAGGGAGGATTGTTGAACAAGAAGGTCTGGACTTCTTTCCATTCCTGCTTGGAGGTGGCAAATGTCAGAGCTAATCCTAGACTAAGAGTCATTCCCCTTGCTGAAAGAGCATAGTGGTCAGTCAGTCAATGAACATTTGTTAAAAGCACCTATTATGTACCTGGAAGTGTGCTATGCACTGGAGATACAAAGAAGGATAAAGAACAGTCCTTGCTCTCTAGGCACTTTGGCTTCTAAGGGCTTTCTTGCTGGGGTGGCAGCAAATCTGGCTTTGATTTTCCTGCTGGGCTTCAAGGTCATCATGGCTTGAACTTCTGGGTTCAGTGATTCTACTGCCTGAACCTAGAAATGAAATGGACAAACAAAAGAAACCAAAATCCCAAGCCCAATTCTTGATCCCACAGGGCCACGCAAGTACCCCAGATGAAAAGATCATTGTAACACTACAGCTGAAGAGAGCACAAAATTACTCAGCTGAACCAGTGGTTAGTGTGGTGAAAGACTTCAGTGGCACATCAAAGACTGAGTTCAGGGAGTCCAGTGGATTGACTGATCCAGAAGAGATGTTATACATTGAGAAGAACCCAGTTGCTGAGCAACCCGCCTTTCTCAGCTTGGGAAGCAATAGCCCCGTGGCCAAGAAATCTTCCTGGTCTAGTCGATCAACAGCTGCCCAGAGGAAAAGCAGCGCTGAGTTTCATCACTGCAGAAGTTGAGTCCAGTGAGGAACCTGTTCAGGAACCAAGAGACCTGAATGACCCAGGCTAGCAGAGTTTTGACCCAGTCAGTCAAGATTTGGCAGCCTACGAAAAGCAACCCCAATTGATTTTCGTGTCCAGCAGAGATGGTATACATTAAAAGGAGCCAGCCCATTTGAAAGCACTATGAATCATCTATCTCCAAAGCCAGCTTTATAAGGATCCCCTCTCCCCACTGAGAAAGAAAAGACACCAAGGCTCTGCATTTTAGTCCCTCACTACATTATACTGTAAGTTTTTATCTACTCTTCCCTCAATGGATGCTGTCTGTATTTGTAAAAGAAGATGCCCAAGGTTTTGGGGAGAAATAATTTGTAACTACTATTCTTGCCTTTCTAAAAGACATTTGCAACTACTACTATGCCATTTAAGTAAATGCCTTTCTAAAGAACTGAGTTTACTTATTGATTGTTAAAGGGAACTACACCAATGGGGGTCTTTCTGCTACATAACAGGAGGATAGTAACCCACAGTGTTATCCTAAAATCCTAAATGTAATGGTAGGTATCCCTCTGGGGACTCAAACTGCCGGGGCCAGAGCTCTCTGGGGAATAAATGTTAATGAATCAATCTAACTTTCTATCAACAAGCATTTGTTAAGTGACTATGCTATTCTAGGCATTTTGCTAAACACTGGCAATATGAAGAAAAAGTGAAAAAGTCTTTCTCTTAAGGAGTTTACATTCTAATGGGAGAGACTACATGAGAAGGTACAAAAACATACAAAATATCTTCCAAATGTATATAAGATAATTTTGAGGGTAAGATAAGAACAGTTGAAGGAATCAGGAAAGGCTTCATATAGAAGGTGGCGCATACATTGATTTTGCAGGAAGCCAGGTATCTCAAGTAGCTCATCTTGAGTTGAGTAACAAATGAATCACTCACTTATCTAGAGGGATCCCCTCTCAGAAATATTCATTGGTTCCCTGGTGGCCAACCCTGTACTGATAAAATTTTGTGAATTTTGATTATCCAGTGCTTGGCTGACAGACATAAAATCCAGCACTAGAAACCTACTTGTAGCCTTCCCAACTTGGCTTTGTGCTCTGCTGGCTTAGCCTTCAGGGTTTACACTCCATGTCACAACAATGCACTTGAAGGATATTACTATTATTTTTTAAAATCCATAGTTCCAAAAAATGATTTAAAAAGAGAGAGAGCCCTGTAGTAGAGAAGAAAATTCTATTCTCAACACTACCTTTCATTTATCAACATATAAACTTATGTAGTAGAAACTTGTCAATGATCTTGGGTCTTTGGGCTATGTGAATGAATAGTCAATCTGGATAATTCAGTTCTTTCCTTTATTACTTCAATCTCACCTTCATTTTCAATAGCAGTCTCATTATCTTAATTTCTTTTTTAGCTTGCTTGTGCAATTGCAAAATAGGGATAATAACAGCATCTACTTTGCAAGGTTCTTGTGGGACTCAGCTAAGACAATGTACTTGTAATGTGTATATAAGTGTACATATGATGTGCTTTGAAACCTTTAAAGTACTCTATTACTGCCAGCTTTTAATATATTCTGCATAATTCAATAAAAAATTTTGTCTGTCTCTCTGTCCCTGTTTTTCTAGCTGTCTCTGTCTCTCTCCCCACTCTCCCTTCATCTTCAATTGAACTGAGGCAATAAGAGTTATTTGAAAAACATCCACAGGGTGTTTCACTAGGGGATAGTGAGTACTTCAAAAGTTAAATTGAGGTTTTATTTGGGTGAAGAATTTTATGGCAATTTATAAAAACTGGACATGAAAATTTCCAGTTCCTTATTGTTGATAGTTTCCTTTCAAATTATATTTTCAAAGATTATTTTGTCAGGAAGAGTTATCATTTTTCCCTTCTAATTTGTTTGCTCTAACAAAAGTCTTGTTGTTATGTTGGGGAGGTACAAGAAGTCTCTTCACGGCTTAATTGATATGAAACATTGATTAGGCCTTCTGAGGGATGGAGAGTTCCAGAGGAACTATGAAATAACCACTGAGTTTACAAGAGGATGTTTGCAAACAGAGGCTCCTGGCTTGAGCTGGACAAAAAAAAAAAAAAGCATGTTGGATAGTTGATAATTAAATTTAAAGAAATACCCGCAGTCTGATAATAGAATTAATTTTTGATGACTTGAGCCTGCTCAAAATGTTTACATGTTGATAATTGAGCAGCAACAAAAATAAGACAAGAATTAGTTGTACCAAAGAGACAGAAAGAAAAGAAATATTTCAATACATAATCCAAGAGAAATTGTGCAAGACCTTGGCTCTGCCTGCTGAAGGTGAAAGGTTTATCGAATTCAAGCATGATCCCTAGCACAACATGGATATTTAAAATATGTTAAATGTTTATTACTGAGGAAGGAAAGGAGGAACAGGAAACAGAAAAAGTGTGAACTGCTGTCTAGAACATGAGAATGACACCTGTGCTCTCACTGTGTCAGCTACAGGTAGCATTAGCTAGGGTAGGTAGACCAGTGGGTTACAAGGGTAAGGTCATGGGCTAGAACTCCATATGGCTCGATTAGATTTGATTTAATCAAGTCATTCAATGAGCATGTATAAAATATCTCTGATGCTAAGTGCTAGGAATAAAACATCAAAAATGAAAATAGGCCTGGTCCTTAAAGAGTTTATAGTCTGTTGGGAAGAAATGTATGCAGATAAATAAGAAAAAAGTAATGGAGGGGGGAAAGGAGTGGACCATAAATCTAGTTCTTATAATTTTTATAAGCTATTCCACAGAAGAATGTGAATACAGCTGGATCAGCACAAACTCTTTACCTCTTGAAAAAGGATAAATAAAAACACTAGAGCCACTATTGATGTATTAGTAGTTTCAAGCACAGTTCTGCCAGGGCCTATATATTATGAATATAATTTCCAGCATGAGTCTCCTCATGGGGGCAAATTGGGAAGAAATCAAAAGATATTGGATTTTAAATATGAGGGTTAATTTCTTAGTGCTCATTCCCATTAAAATTAGATATTGTATCTGACCATTCACCTAACAAATAAATAAGTAAATAAATATCCATTGATTGTGAAAGACACCATTTGGGGGTTTATAAAAACGAAGAAAACTTGATCTTGCACTTAGATTTGTAGCATGATGGCAGAACTATTGACAGAATGGTTGTGGATTCTCTCTCTATTCACTCAGATTACACCCTTTCTCCATGGGTCTTGGTTTCTCCTCTGTAAAATGGGAGGAGTGGACTAAATCATCTCTGAGATTCTTTCTATCTCTACATCTATGATCCCATGATCTGTTCAACACAGTAGACAGGCTTTCAAAGGTGGTAAGATTTTTTTTTTTTAAAGTCATCATATTGTACCAAGTTCATGATGACTTAGCTTGGGTGGTCCTTGGATGACAAACATTCAGTCTGTCCCTGGGTCTGGGCTTGAATCTCTTTGAACTTGATAGGACCTGACAGATTTTGTGCTTTGATGCAAACGTCTTTGAGAGGTCTCGATCAACCCTAGGCTACAATGAAGCATCAGAGCATGATGCTATAAGACATAAGAGCAAGAGAGGTGGAAACAAAGTGTTAGAGGTACATTTTAAAAATATTTTGTTTTTTCAGTTACATGTAAAAACAATTTTTAACCTTTTTTTTTTTTAACAATTGTGAGTTCCAAAATTCTCTCCTACCTTCCCTCTTCTCATCCCTCATTGAGAAGGCAGGCAAGCAATTATATATGTTACATATGTTCAGTCATCCAAACCATAAAGGTACATTTGATGAGGTCAGTAAAAAGGGAAAAAATTACCATTAAAAACTGTGTTGGTCCCATGATTAAAAATAATACTTTCCCTTTTTCTTGGGGGAGGGGTGCTAAATTTTGTCTTAATGAAATAAACTAATCCACTTTCCCCAAAAAAACCCTCAAAACATATAACTATATAAAAATAAGTATGAATGGATGGACATGCAAGTGTTCGCTTTTATTATTTAGTATTTGTTAAAAGAAAAGAAGGTTGTGTATTTTAATCTTAACAAAGTAGTTCTATAGGTCAGTCAGTCAATAAACATTTATTATGTGTTTACTATACATTCAGGCACTGTGCTAAGCACTAGGGATACAAAGAAAGGCAAAAGACAGTCCTTGTCCTCCAGGAACCCACAGTTTAATGAGGGATTAGAAACCATTGACATCCATTGCACTAAACCCAAGGTCTGATGTCTTTGATGTTGTCTTCACTTAGCACTAGATGTTGCCATAAGATAGGGGGCTCAATTGTAGCTCTTCCACTGTATACCCTACACTGTATACCTATAGCCTCTCTGGGCATCAGTTTCCTGTAAAATAAAAGAACTGGAGGCAGACATGTGCTGAAACCAGCTTGAACCTGCCTGATCTGATTGTCAAATTTTCACTGTGAGCATTTATGCCTCAGAAATCAGCAAATGCTACAAATCAGGGTTTGATTTATTGCTTTGCTGATTTCTTAGACCGATGGTGTCAAATTCAAACCGGCCATTAAACTCTACATAAGCATCCCTGATGCCACTTGTTGACTTAGAAAGTTAGATTTTAACATTAGCTTTGTTTTGTTGTATTAAAAGTAATGGAGAAAATGTTAATAATGCACATTAAATTAAAATGTGTTATTCATACATCTCTTTTTTCCTGAGGAAGAGCTGTTAAACGTTTACTAGCACACTCTTGATCACTAAGGTCTTTTCTAACTCTTTATCATGTTATCTACGTAACTGTGTTATGTTGTTGTTCAGTCACGTCTGACTCTTCCTGACCCCATTTGGGGTTTTCTTAGCAAAGATACTGGAATGGTTTGCCATTTCCTTCTCTGGCTCATTTTACAGATGAGGAAACCAAGGCAAGCAGAGTTAAGTGACTTGCCCAGGGTCACACAGCTAGTAAGTGTTATATGTTTGAGGCCACATTTGAACTCAGGAATTCCAGGCCCAGCACTCTATCCACTGCACCACCTAGCTGCTCATTACATAATTGTACCCAGCTCCTATCTTTTTCTTTTAACAGTAATATTATTAAAAGTAACATGAGTTCAATACTTCAAAAAGATAGGTTGGAGTCCATGGACACAAATTTCAACCCATTCACACCTTAACAGACAGTCTTCATGAGGTGCTAGGACCAGAAAATTAATCACCCTGGAAGCTAAACTTTTGCTCGTGAGCCTGAAATTCAGCTAGGCTGTTCCTTAGAATACAGTTGGCACTAAGTCCCTCCTCAGCCTACCTGGCCCTGCTTTAGCCTTTGAAACCCAGAACTAGCTGTGTGACACTGGGTAAGTCACTTAAACCTTTTTGCTTTAGTTCCTTATCTGTAAAAAGAACTGGAGAAAGAAATGGCAAATCACTTCAGTGCCTTTGTCAAAAAAAACCCCAAAAGGGGTCATGGAGAGTCAGACATGACTGAAAATGACTATACAACATTTACCTTTCAGGACAAAATGATTGCTGCCCTTTCCCTATGGCACTGATGATTTCTGGCTCTTCTTCTTGGCTCAGTTAGACAATCATATCCGTACATGATAAGACAGATTTTTCTATAATGACAATAATTATTTAAACAATTAACTTGATCTTTGCAAGTCAACATTTTCCCCTCACATATGCATTCTGATTAATACAATTTTGGCATAACAAGCATTTTACTTTGTAAGGAATTATTTTTGGATACATGTATGAAAGTACGTCTGGAAAGCTCTGCCTCCTCTTCTGACCCATCTTTAGAGTCTAACTCCAGTGCCTCCCTCCAGGAAGTCTCCCTTGATTATTCAGCTCATGCAGAGGACTTTGCTTTGCACCAGTCTGATGGAATTATAGGATCATAGGTGCAGAGCTAGACAGCAACTTAAAAATCATCTGATCCAACCCCTTATCTTTACAGATGAGGAGAATGAGGCCCAGAGAGTTGAATTAATTTACCTGACATTGCACAGGTTTCTACAGTCACCACAGTCAACAGCATCAGTGAGTTTTGAACCCTGTTTTTTCACTTCAAATCTAGGATGCCTCCTCCCACACTACACTACTTACCATATAATATTGCATAAATAAATTAAATCAGGTCCTTGTGAATCTCCAGTATAGTACTCTGATAAAAAAAATGCTCATTTAGGATTCTAAATTCAAGATAAATTCATAAAAAAAATTAGGAAATTCTAATGTTAAAAAATCATAATGCAGTTAAGTGGTGCAGTAGATAGAGGGCCCAGCCTGAAGTCAGGAAGACTCACCTTTCTGAACTCAAAAACAGCCTCAGACAGTGCGTAGCTGTGAGATCCTGAGCAAGTCATGTAACCCTGTTTGCCTCAGTATCCTCATCTGTAAAATGAGCTGGAGAAGGAAACGGAAAACTGTTCTAGTATCTTTGTCAAGAAAACCCTAAATGAAGTCTTAGAGAGTTGGACTCAACTGGAAATTGCTGTTGTTTTTAAAACTGTTATATTTAAACAGCTGGGGTCGCTAGGTGGTGTAGTGGATATATTTCTGAGTTTAAATCTGGCCTCAGACACTAGCTGTGTGACTCTGGCCAAGTCACTTAACCCTTTTTGGCTCAATTTCTCACTTGTAAAATGAGCTGGAGAAGAAAATGGCAAACTACTCCAGTATCTTTGCCAAGAAAACTCCACATGGGGTTATGAAGAGTCAGACGTGACTGAAAAATGACTGAACAAAATTTAACTAGCTAAGCTACCTCATCTCAAAAGTATTTATTTATTTGGCAAGGCAATTGGGATTAAGTGACTTGCCCAAAGTCACTGGTAAGTGTTGTGTGTTTGAGGCCAGATTTGAACTCAGGCCTTCCTAACTCCAGGGCCAGTACTCTATCCACTGTGCCACCTAGCTGTCCCTCAAAAGTATTTATTGATAAAACTAGAAAAGAGACAACTAAAAGATGTAAAACAGAATAGATAGGTTAGTAATTCTACACTCTTTAGCAATAAAGGTGTATCTACCACATTTGGCCTTTACCACCTGTATACCCTCCTCCATATCTAATGCACTAATGAAGGAAACAGCAGAGACAGTTAAGAAGGGATAGTCAGGCAGAGTGAATGGATTTGACTGAATATATAGAACTGAAATCTGTCCTAGAGATTGCATAGTTACAAATGCACTGACGGATATATTTTCAAGATGTCTTAAGAGGAGAAGATTCAGGAAATGGTAAAAGTAATGTTACATGAGGGTATCCTTCATTAAAGCATGAAAACTGAATAGTTGTACTTTCACAAGTGATTTTCTACAATAGATCACATCTTCACTGCCATATACCTGACTGAAAAGTATGCAGATTATAAGATACCACCGTGTTTAGTATTTCTTGATTTTTAAAAAAAATTTGCTAGAGTAAAAATTAAGTCTTAAAATCTACTAAAATATGTCTCTTACACATATATGAAAATATACAACATTCTGTAATAGATGTGACTATAGATTAATGCTGAGCATTCATATCAAGTGAGACATAAAGTTAGGGAGATATATGTTCACTTAGGGTGTTTGCTAGTGCTTTGGTACAGATGGTGAGGATCTCCAGACCCTTATATTTGCAAATTGTACTAGTTACATTGAGCTTCAGAATACTACAAAACCTCTTCAAGGAAATCCACTGTCATTGAGAGATTAGTCTAATTACATACAGTGAAAAAACAAAGTAGAAGAAAAATGCATATTAAGCAGATTATTACATGCAATTGGACAGTCAACCCACTGAGTCATAAATACATGTCTATCAATGTCTTAGGAAACTCTACCAATGGACAATGCTCCAGGCCCAGAACTGACTAAAAGGAAGAGAGTGAGTGGGTTAGATTGATTGCCTTTGGTAAACTGGATGTTACTTTGATTCCAAGCTGATTTTTGATGCAAAATCAATGAAAAAAACCCAATATGCTCTTAGTGACTTTATATGGCTACAAATCATGAAACACAATAATCTCAGAATTAAAATGTCAGTGGTACAAAATGAAATGGAAAAGTTTGTTGTGAGTATAAATAGACTATCATATCATGAGTAATTATTTGAATGGAGAAATTATATTAAAGACATCATTAAGGATATATGACCATAAAAGGCGGATGGTTAACCATGAACTGAGTCAATCAATTGATATGCATTTATTAATTACCTACTGTGTTTCAGGAGGGATAATGACTGGGCAGTCCAAGTACTATCTTATTGTCTGTGCAGCAATGTGATACAGCACATTGAATAGGCTGCTGTACTTGGAGCCAGGATGACCCCAGTTCAGATTCTCCTTCTGACATTTGCTAGTGATCTGTCAGTAAACATTTATTAAGCACCTAATATGTCCCAGACTGTTCCAAGCATTGTGCTTACTAGCTGTGTGACTCCATGCAAGTCACTTAAACTCCTTATGCCTCAGTTTCCTCATCTGGAAAATTAGGGGGCTAGACTAAACTTCTGAAGTCCCATCCAGAGCTGTATTTGTGAACCTATGAATAAACACACCCATCCAAAGGCAGGTGCTTGGATTTTTTTATATAGTACAGAAGCATATCTTAGTAGGAGCTATTATTCCCCCTACCTCCCAACAAGCCCTTTCTCTCTATCTCTCTGCTCCTGCCAGAGATATTGCCCTTCTATTAGTTATGCTAGGAGAAAATATGACCAGAAAACTCCAAAAGGGAAGGCACCCTGTGAGTTTTTCATTTAATAGAACATTTTCTGCCACAAATGTCCAAAAGAATTGGTTGAGGAGACAGGACTACCTCCAGATTTTAACCTTGGCATCACAATATCTGGGGTTTTTTTCCCTTCTTCTCTCCACTTGTGTCTTTTCAGTGCAACTCTTGTTTTGTTGGTCAGTGAAAAACTACTTTGCTGTGATATATAGATCTCTCAGGTTACAAGCTCAATAAAGATTAGATAAAGTTCAGGTACATAGTCTTGTTATATTATAGTATCTAGCCATTACTCATGTTCTTTAATGGGCTATTGTAGTATTGACACCCATATTTATCAGCTCATGTGAGGGGAAGCCATGTCCTAACTCCTTTCTCATATAAGGTATTTAAATTATCCTCACATCTTGATTAGATCAGGGGGCTAAAGCTTCAGGCTATTGCCATCACTTCCTGGTTACCTGAGTGGAAAAAAAGTGAGTTGCTGCAGGCACTTGGGGGTGTCGGTTGGTGAAAATGATGGGCAACCCAGCCAAGTGAGTTTCAGTTAGCTTGAATGTTCTTTTGAATATCCTACTCCTGCTATGGCTAATGTTAAGTGTTGAGTGACCTAGAAGTGTCTCATTTTGTTCTGCTATCTAATATAAAATACCAGGAGACTAATCTGAGTCAGGCTCAGTCCAAAACATCATGCCTTTCTTTAGTTTGAAACCCTGGGTTACTCACCTTTACTGTTGGCCACCCGCTTCAGTTCCAAGTAGAAACTTTCTTTACAGGTAGTTAAAACTCTGACTGGACTTTTCCTTACTCTTTGATGTCCCTTACCTGCCATCCTGGCACTAGGTTTTCTCTTTCTTGGTCACAGAGCTGATAGTCAACTTTCCTCAGGGGATTCTTCTCTTGTATTTACTATTGTGGTCGCTAGGTGGCACAATGGATAGAGCTCTGGGTCTGGAGCCAATAAAAACTGAGTTCAAATTCAACCTCAAACACTTCCTAAATGAGTGACCTTGGGCAATTCTGCTTCTCTCAGTTTCCTCAACTGTAAAATGGGGATAATAATAGCAACTAAATCCCAGGGTTGTTATGAGGAGCAAATGAGATAACATATAATGCCAGCTACTATGATAATTATTGTTATTGTTATTATTTCAAGATCTCCCATACAATAAATGGCAGAGCCTGGATTTGAACTCTGTCTCTCTGTCTCTCTGTCTCTCTGTCTCTCTGTCTCTCTCTCTCTCTCTCTCTCTCTCTCTCTCTCTCTCTATATATATATATATATATATATGTATGTATATATATATATATATATGTATGTATGTATATATATATATACATACACACACACACACACACACATACATATATATACTCTTTTCCACTTAACTTCCTGACGTCTGATCACATTCTTCTGTAATAGATTTTATATCTCCTTTGTTGCTCATTTTACCCTCAATTTACTTTTCTTGAAAATGTCTTAAATTTTTCACTTCAAATTCTATCTACCCTAGGTCAAAGATCCCAGGGTAGAGTCTATAGGTAAAAGGTACTTTGGGGGCACTGGCACATTTGTTATGTAGTCACCTTTCTGCATGGTAAACAATTCTCACTTACTATAGAATACTATCATGTCTAATATCTAATAAATGTCATGATTGCTCATGCAACTTTAGTTTAATTTATTCTAAAAACACAAATCATCTTGGGTAGGGAGACTTTCCCTCCACACAGTGGTGATACTGGAACAATCTTTACCTCATCCACCTTCTTGTATAACCAAATGTATCATGGTGTGACTGGGAAAGTCATTTCTAAAACCCTCTAGACTGGGAGTAGACAGAACTAAACCTCTCTGCACTTTTGTTCTCTGATCTCTAAAATGATGTAGTTGGAAGAATGTTCTCTGAAGTCCTTCTAACTTTGAGCTATTTTACAGTGTTCCTCCTTTTCTTCCTTTAAAAAATACCTATTTTATGAAGTTGGTTTACAAGTCAACTACATTTTTACATGTAAACATTTTTATATACCTTATTTATGTACTCAATCCTAGTTTCATCTATATCTATGAATGCTCTTCAAATGATCTTGTAAATGTTTTCCTGACATTGTTTTTTTTAACTGATTTGTAATATTATTGATAATCTTCCCTTCCCTCATAATATTTTGCAGATTAGTTTATACACTTATATGTATTTATCCTTGGCAAAAGCTACTGCATGGTGATCCCCTTGGCATCAAGGTGAGACAGTTAATTGTTCCTTCACAAAATGGTGTTATTTTTTGAACTTGAGTGTATATAATGAAACCAACTCATTTGTTCACAAATCTGAGAACTTGTGACCAATCCTTCCATTTGACTGCAGTATCCTTATGCCTTTTGATTTCATTTATTGTGAGATGGTCTTTATAGATGTAGTTTAGTTGGACTGGTAGAGGGCCAATTGTCATTGAATATGAATAGCTCATATTCGGAGTTAATCTGATGTTTGTGGGTGGTCTAAAATGTTGTGATTTGTAGTTCTCTAAAGTTCTTTTCCCCATACCATTCTATGACTCTCTTTATGAAAGAGGAAGGGACCACATGGGACTGAGCATCATTTTCTATTATATTTTTCTTCATTGATTACCGAAGTTAAAGACTTCATAACCTTGTGGACAACCTGTAGGTGACAAACCTCTCTGAATTTAAGTTGTCTGCTTCTCATACAGGAGTCTCAGTTTATTACCAAGCATGTTCTTAGTCTTTCCAGCCTGGTACAAGCTGGCAAAACTAGTGTTCAGCTAGCAAATTTTTTAAACTCAGGGTAACCATACTGTAAAGCAGGGCTTTGTGGAATGGAATTTTTTTTTTCATCTCACAGAGGGCTTTTTTCTAACATGACACACAAAAAAGTTAAGAACCCTTGTTCTAAAAAAAAAAAACAGAGGAAAGATGCTTCTTTATGCTTTAGAAATATTAATGAAGTTCCTCTGAACCCATTCATTGTGAAAAAATGTCAAATATGCTTCTAGTAAAATAAAGTTAGCTCTAATCTGACGTATGTGTGGGCATTATGCAAACAGCATATGAAAACTGGCCCAGGAAAATTCCAAGGCTAAGTCTGAGATATATTAAAAAACAAAAACAAAAACGAAACTATTGAGGTCTCTTGTATCCCTACTGGAATATGTGAGCTTGAGCCAAATTTTCTCTTCTGCTAAGAGCATGTGACTCCTATTGATATCTTGGTTCTGAGAAGAGTCTACATATATCTGGAATTTAGTTCAAAGAAGTTGAGAGGGAGAGGAAAATAGGGAAATAGAGTAAAAAGGTTTATCTGATTAGAGATTCATTTGGGGAATTACCTTTTCAGTAGTTTGGGAAACTACCTTGCAGAGATTTAATGGGGGGAAATATTCTTGGTAGGCAGTTCTTTGAATCCTTCTCAAGGAATGATGAAGATGAAATAAAAGTTTATTAAGCTTTAGTAAACAGTTACTATTCAGTTTCATAGAAATAGAGGTGTAAGGCTTTCACACTGGCTCAAGAGCATAGACAGTATGGGAATTGTGAAAGTACATATAGAATTGGGGAAAAATAAAATTTTAAACTTTAAAAAGCATAATAGATGCTGCTGATGTATACTGCAAAAACAAAGCATAAAACAATATTTTGAGTTTGGTTAAGTGTGAGTTAATGTAATTTATTCATGATTTCAGGGTAATTTTAAATTATATAAATCATTTCATTTATTCTTCTGAGCCCCCTACTAGATCATAAACTCCAAGAGGCCAGAAATAATAAACTATCTACTGTTTTCTTCCCAGTTTCCTCAGTCCTCCAACACTCCCTCTCCTAACTCAGTGCTGAACATATGATAGGCATGTAATGTGTGGTTGTTCAGCTGTCATTGTGACATCAGAAAACAGAAGGCATTCATAATATAGCAAGAAACACATACTTTTCTAGAGAGGCATAGAATGTAGAACCAAAAAAATCACCCTAAATCATAATGTGATTTATTTAAAGCTGACGGATAGAATTGATAGGATCATCTTTCTAGAACTTAAACAGGTCTTACAGGCTATTTTATTCCCTTATTTTATAGATGAGGAATTGAGGCCTAAATAAGTTAAGTTACTTGTTTTGATAAATTATGTTGCTTCAGTATGCCAAAATTGTGTTGCTTTAGATTATATTGATATATTAATGTATCACATTAGTCTTATGCTTATTTTATGTAGTTAACATTTTTCGGGAAGTACATTTCAACATTTAAAACTGACCAGAAATGGTTGTTTTAAATTACACTAAGGAGAAGCAAATGTGAAACCAGATTTGACCTTGAGAAAAAGAACTTTTCTCTCTTGTATTGTTTTTTACTGTATATCAATTACATTTCTGTATTAGACCCATATATCAAATTCTCTCTTTTGGAGGGAAACATCTGTTTTCTCTATTCAAGATAGTATCATCCCTTTAGCCTGATCTTCTGGGAAATTAATTTAGATTCTTGCTATATATTTATAGGAATCTGTTTTAACTATTAAAAACAAGAGGTCAAAATATTCATATCTCTGTCAAGTCAGTGACTTTCCCTCAGTGCAACAAAAGTTAATTAAATGACTATGTGCAAATCAATATTGCATAGTATATAAAAACTGTTCTAGGAGTCAGAAAAACTAGGTTCACATACTGCCTCCAACACCTATTAGCTGTGTGACCCTGGTCAAATCACTTAATCTCTCAGGGGCCATGGCAGTAGGTTTCCATTTGCATATGTAAGGGTAAGTTTCCTCTTTGGGAGAATCCTACACCTATGAAATCACAGGTCTGAGTAAAAGAACAAAAACAAAACAAAAAAGGTATGCAAGGTACAAAAAACGACAGACCTTGCTATCAAGGAGTTTACAATTTAGTAGTGGTGGAGGGAGGGAGAGCATAAAGGTATTTACACAAGTGCTATATATAATATGATAAGAATATAGGCTAGGTCAAACTGAAGGAAGGGGTGAGAATCAGAAAAAGTGGAGAGAGATTTCAACAAAGTAATTTTTTAAAAGGCAGGATCACAGATTGTGTGAAATCCTGCTGGATTCAAATGCCGAAAAAGGAATGTTCCTTAGCGCCGTGTACAGAATGTGTGCCGTGTACGGAAATGCACCCCCTTTCCCGGCAAGATTCCAGGATCACCCAGCAGGGGGCAGCACCAACCTGCTTTGCTCTCGGCCCCAGGCAGGCAGCTCAGCGCTTCTCAATGCAACAAGAACTGTATCCCCACATGCCCCAAGGTCACGCTGCTCCTAACAGCTCTACAGCCCCAGGGCCACGGAAATAATGCATCCACCCTCCAGGCAGTGGGACCCCGGACTGACGGAAGTAGTAGGTCTTGGCCAAAAAGCTCCTAGACGCAGGATGATGTCAAAATGGGCATCTAAATGGGGGGAAATAAAGGATAGGGTGTACCGGGTCTGGAGCAGAAACAACCACCGCAGGGAGGGGGATGGGGTGCATGCATGTAGACGCTTTCCTGCTATCCTCCACGGCCGTCTCTGCAGCAGAGCTTCGGGTGTTTGAGGCTGGGCCGGGGGATCTTGGCCCTATTCTCACCGCCCTTAACCCGGACTTGCTGCTCTGTGCATGGGAGATGTCAGCGCAACGAAAGAACTAGGGAGCCGGCCAGCAAGGAGGAGAGGAAGGGACGGGAGAGCGGGCCTGAGATTATATAGGGGAGCTTTCCACGCCTTCCCTCTAGCCCGCCTCGATCAGGCTCAGCCCCCAGAGATAACATCCCAACTACTGCCCCCTCCCTACCCCAAGTCCAACCAGTGTCCCCTATCCCCCCTCCCCCTTCAACCATCTCCTCCCTTTCTGCCCCCACCTCTCCGGTCGCAAAGGGACTTGGAGTTGGCGGGAGCCTATAAAAGCCCATCACAGAAAGAGCCGGGGACAGGCTTGCTGTAACCAGTGCAGAGGTGCAACCCAAGAGCTAATTACTAAACCTTGAACAGCTTGCAAGACCATGTCCCAACATCACTGGGGATATGAGCCAGGCTTAAACGGTGAGTGAAAGCGTTCGGGGAGAAGGGACGACTTCCTTCCCTCCTTTCCTTTCCCCTTCAACCGTCCTCTGCCCCAAATCCCCAGTTGCCCATCACGAGCCAGAGAGGATGGTGATGGCTGGAGCAGTGGCTCCTCCGCACTGCACCTGCTGTTTACTGCAGCCTCAGCTTTGCAAGCTTGAGGCTCAGGTGCGCATGGGGATCTCCCAGGCGCGCCCCGCTTCCCAAGCCTCCCTCCTGCCTCTGGTTCCCAGCTGAGGCACGGGTCTGGTCCCCCTATTCACTATCACGTTTTCCTTTGGGTCGCTGGGCAACCGGGTGGGTACTGTCGAGGAATCAAATGATCCTGCTCATTGCTTTTGGCAAGCAGGGGCAGGCAGGTAAGGGCAAGCAGATCTCCCTAAACCCTGCTTCTTCTTTTTCCCCTTCTCTTATGAGATAGAGGTGGATGTTGAAAGTTCCTTTAGTGCATTTCAGAGCCCATATACTAATCTGAAAGAACGCTAGGCATTGTTTTCACCCAGGAGGCATAAGAGACAGCCGGCACGTCCTCCACGCTGTCTGTGACTCACAGATCTTTTCCCAAGGACTGTCCCATTCCTTTCGTGTAGGAGGAGAGCTTCCTACTGGCTGGTTTATTTCCGTTATGGTGTGTTTCTGAGAGTTTTCCTTTCTTGTCTACCACCTTGTAATTTAAAGGTTCATTAGGAATCCGAATGAACGGGTACATGTCTTTAGGTTTTCTGAAGCTTTAAAGGGCGAAGGGGGGGGGGGGGTCTGGAGTGTAAAAGGGGCTAGGCACTTTGTCTCCAGATCCGTAAAGGAACCAAAACCATGACATTTCATTCATAATCAAGAGAGAGACAGAGAGAGACGAAGAGAGAAAGACAGACACATACAGAGAGAGTGTGCGTGTGTGTATGAAAACTCTTTGAGATAATATATGTGTTAATGCTTTTTTAGAGTTGCCTGAAAATGTAGGCTGTTACTGCTGTCATCACCAAATTAAACAAGTAGTGTCTAAAGTCTGCAGAAGGCAAAGACTGCAGGTGGCGGATCTATCGATCTGCCTTCCAGCCGCTCTGTCAGCGTAGTCTACCTTGTTCCAGTGACCTGTTGTCTGTTGCACATTCTGTTAAAGGGCTCTCCTCTGGTGGGTCTGGCCTTTGTACTTTCTTCTCTTAATAGATATATATGCCTCTTCTCTCACCATAGGGCCAGATAGCTGGCATAAGGCTTTTCCTATTGCCAATGGAAAACGACAGTCTCCTGTGGAAATTGAGTACTCCAAAACGCAGTATGACTCTGCTCTGAAACCTCTGAAGTTGTCCTATGACCCTTCTACTGCTAAGAGGATCGTCAACAATGGTCACTCTTTCAACGTTGAGTTTGATGATTCTGCTGATAAATCAGGTCAGTCTCTGGAATGTGCACCCTCTATTAAGAGTAGCTTCAGCTTATAAGAGTAGTGCGGAATATAGAGAGGCAAGAGCTTCTAACATCTGAGCAGTTTCAATTAAAAAAAAATCCAAGGCAGCTTTAAAAAAAAAACACAAAACAGCCTGCTGAAAAGTCCCTAGAAGTGAGCTCTTTTACCTTCTCCTAAGGGAACCCTTTAAACAGTGCCAGCACAGCTCCCGGAAGCCAAAAAGTATTCAATAAATGCTACTTAATCTACTGTTTGGTTTATCTTCTTAGTAGTTAGTGCTCTCATTCTTTTTAAATTAGTATGTTTATGCATATTTCTTTACACGTTGTCTCACCCCAGGCTAAAATACTGGAGGGCAGACTGTGGTTTGTTGGTTTGTTTTTTGTGTTTTTGTTTTTTCCCTTTGGTCTTTGTATATCCAGCAGCTACCAAAGCTAGATCTGCACATAATAGTGGAATGATAAATACTTGTTGGTTTAGATTGGATCATTGTGATTTCTGGCAATATTTTCCTCCCAAAGTAAAATGGCTAACCCATACTCTGTCTAAATAACCACAAAATATACATTAATGGCATAGTATATATAATGTATAAGATGTATATTTAGAAATATTGGACTTTTGAAAATTCCAGAACCTTAGCTAAAGTACATCAAGAACATATGATAATCTTACTATCAAACCAGCAGTGAGGAGGAAATTGTAGAAATTTCAAAATTCTTGGAAACATTAGCATTTGTCAATATGTCTGGGTTCTGGTCTTGGCTAATAAAAAATAGCACTACACCTATCTATGTCCAGATCACTTGCAACTAACCTAGATATTCTTTATATATGGGAACATACATATTGAATGTTACTGACAAAACAGTTATTGCATTTTCTTTATAGCAAGACATCTGTTTATAAGAAATGACTAATATTAATTTATAATTCGTATTTCTTATAGTTTCCAAGCATGGAGCAGTGCACAAACATAGGTGCTTAATAAATGTTTGTTTACTATTACATCTGGGATATTCTCTTTCTCTCATGTTTCTTCTTCTCCCTCCCTTTCTCCTCTCTTCCTCTTCCTCCCTTCTCTTCCTTCTCCTCTATTTTCTTCCCTCCCCTTTCCTCCTTTTTTCTCTCCACCTTCTTCTTCCTCCTCTCTTCCCTCTCCTCTCTCTTATTCTCCCTCCTGCCCCCCTCTCTCCCCTTTTTCTCCTTTTTGTAGAAACAGGGAAACAATCCTATTTAGAGACAGTAGCAGCCTTATTTGACTACTGGCTGATTTAACTTGTCAGTGCCCTATTTTCTTAAGTTCTTTTGTGTTGTCATCTAGCAAATGCTTCAGGAAATAAATTATCTGTGCCTAGAATCATTTTTTCTTTTTTTTAGTAGATGGGGTGGAGAAGGGAAAGGAGAAAGGAAGAAGATTGGGAAAAGATAACATTCCCTCTCCACTACCTACCCCATGTGCCAGGGTGTATATATATATATATATACCCTTAGTGATTTTAGCTAGTACTTCACAGTGTTTGTTTAATGACTAGATTTTATTTTAGTAGGTATATTTTATATTTAGTAACATTTATAAACCATAGGAAGCTCTTTGAATTATTTTTTAAAATCTTTTTTTTTGTTGCAGGATTCTTTAGACATTTTGTATTTAGTTGATGGGTAAATTAGGAATTAAAATTGAGGAATTTTGAATAGAGAAGATTATTTTATTACCAGGTAAAGAATATCTTTGCAGTTAGCATATAATGTGAAAGTCTCTATCAGGGCCAGAGGCCTGGGGAATAGTGCAGATATAGAAAGCATGTTATGAAATTTCATAAATAAGTTGTCTGGAAATGTTATAGTCTCAAGCATCCTTTTGAGAGAGAGTGTCTAAAAAATAGTAGCACTGACATGAGCTCCTATAATGTGAAGCTACTGAGTTTCTCAAAGATATACTTGAATAAGGGCAAGAGATAAAGTACAGAAGTGTTTGCTAAAACTCTAAAACTCATTGGTTGCCAGATAGAAGTGTTACACACACACACACACACACACACACACACACACATCCTGATTGCCCCTCCCCCATATTCATCATGTTTTTTCTGTGATATGCTGGAGCATTTTGGTAGGAAGGGCATTCAATTTGGAGCCAGAATTTATGGGTTCAGATTGGGGTTCTAATTCTTACTAGTTATGTGGCATTAGAAGCAGGTCATTTTATTTCTCTGAGCTTTGTACAATGAAGTATTTTGACCATAATAAAAACTAGTATTTATATTGCCTCCATTGCTGTCCATATTACCTCATTTGATAATCTCTAGATAACCTCTAAGATCCCTTTCAACCATAGATTCTAGGTATATCTAGGTATACTACATTAGACAAGTTAATTCCTTACTGTGTTCTTCAAACAGCTGCCGAATGTGAGCATGCCATCAACCTTCTAGTAACAATATGTATTGTCTAGTAATCCATATAATATATGTGTAAAGCACACTTTACTGAAAGATGCATGGTCATATTTGGCAGCCACTTGAAAATCAGAGTAGGAAGTTATTTAACTGTTCATACACATTCAAATTTTAATTCTGAAAAGTTTGCATTTGTGTGAAATGTGTTGTCATGCTGAGCAGTGAAGGAATACCAGGCTTTGGATTGCCCAAATCATTTCCTTATTTTTATTCCCAGACAGCTGGTAAGTTAAAAGCATAGGTTCCTTTTCTCTATGGAATCCACAGTTGGGTTAATATTTTAAAAAATATCCTATTTGATAGTGCCCATTTTTCCAAACCTAAGGAAATAAAAATAATGTTTCACAGCAGGTGTTTGCACTTAAACAAGATTTTATAAATTCTGAAATATTTATAATACCAAAATGAAATGCTTCTTTAATATCTGTAATATTTTGTCTGCAAATCTAAAAATACAGCTTTCATGGTGTCTAGAATTCAGACGATTTGTCCCCTCATTTTTTTGCCCCTGGTCTTTTTCTTTGAACGTTTACTCTGTTAATTATTAACTATCCTAGGATTATAGTAGTAAGCTAAAACAGTAAATTTAGTGCAGTGAAGCCTGGCAAACCTTTCATGCTATTTTTTTTAACCTTTTATACACATTCAGTAAATGATGGCCACTGAACACTTAAGTACTCCTAGTGTTTGGCGCAGAAGACAAGAGTTCTGGGCTTGGAATCAGGAAGACTAATTAATCTTCCTGAGTTCAAATCCAGCCTCAGACACTTATTAGTCACACAGCTAGCTAGTAAGTCTCTGAGGCCAGATTTGAGAGCAGGTTGTCCTGACTCTATCCACTGTGCCACTGAGCTGCCCCTGGCTTTCTGTATACAGTAATTTATACTCTTATAGAGTTGCCTGGGGGCACTGAGAAGTTAACTGGCTTATCCATGTGTCACACAGTTAAAATGTATCTGAAGCAAGACTTGAATGAAGTTCTTCCTGACTCAAAGACTGGCCCTCTTTTCACTGAACCATCTACCTTTCTCATTTATATAATATATTTAGGGCCTTATGAAAGCACATATCAATTGCCCAGGGAACTCAGAGTCTTTAAGTTGAAAAAAAAAAGTTGCTGACACACATTGGTTTCTTACTAGCAGTATGCACAGAAGTGAAATGACAGCTTTTATAAATAATAATAATAATAATAATAATACTAAATTGATCCAGAGCTAGATTCATTGGGTATCTAAAGGCATTCATGCTAAAAAGCAATAATAGCTAATAGACATTAGCAGCAAGATCAAGAACATTCTAAGATTATGTATCAGTCGTTAAGCCAGTGATCTCTGTCAACATGTTATATAACTATAACTTAGAACTCACAAATATTTTTAAGTAAATGCAACAGATGTCAGCAAGTAGACTATTTTACTATTTTATAAAGCTAATAATTCAGTAGTAGTACTTAATAGGGTAGCTAGGACCATATAGTTATAGACTGTCCCATTTAGGAAAAAATGTCACTAAAACATACAAGGAAAACCAATAGGTGTCTGAGCATCAGAAACAAAAATGGAAATTGAGGTCTATCAAAGTAGAAGTCAATCATGCCAACAAATGGAGTGGTTTCTTAGATATGAGGTACCCATTGTGTGGAACTGACAATCTATCATGTTTTAGGCACGATTCAGAGGGTGGTACTTCTGGAGATCTCTAGGAAATTCCTTTTCCAACAATGGATTATTGTAATGTACTTGGGTAGTAAGGACTGGTGTTGTAAAGATGACTTTGCATAGATTTACCTGAATCATAATAAAGTTTGCATTTGTCTCTAAGGCTACTTTAAAGATGTCTATAAATTATTAAAAATAATCATTTAACCTTTTATTAACTTATGTTGTGTGTGTATACCCAAATGGCTTTAAAAGTCAGAAAAAATATTGCTTTATACTTGTATGCTTTTTTTGAATGATTAAAAAATGACTTCAAAGTTTTAAAATAGTTCAATAATTTATTTTGTTTTGACCAGATGATATGTCTTTTTTTTAACCATAACCCATTATAAATATCCCTTTTGTTAAGAGGTTTTTTTTTAAATAGTATGTTGACATTTTTAGATTTCCTGTACGTCTTCATTTCCTGCGAACAGAAACTCCACTTCATTTGCTTCCTTGATCATGTTATCTTCTCACTTCATTTTCACAGTAACATTTCAAACTTAGAAAACTTTTCAATGATTCAAATTTTTCATTATTCTGTAAACATCACATACTGAAACATCAGAGGCTAAAACTAACTGTGACCGAGGTATTGTTGAAACAATACTGAATTCTTAATCACTTATTGTGGTGATTTAGCTTGCTATGTTTCATTTTAACTGTGGAATTAATAAGCTTTAATCAGTTCTGGTTAAAGCTATTACTCAGTAATCTTATAAACTCCTTTAAAAAACAAGTTAATGAAAAATTGCTAATCTAGTTATAATGACTATTTAAAAAAAACTCTTGAAAATAATTCTACCCAATCTGAGATCTTTT